GTGTCTGAGGTTCCTCTATCTACTGCCTGCTGAATGTGGGTACTGAGGTCTCTTTAGGGGAGGAAGTATCTACTGGGTATTCTTGCTTTAGGTGACTGTGGCAGGCCTGTTGGAGGAACAGAACAGAGTTGATCTGCTTATGGGTAGTGTCCTGGAGAAACACCTGGAGCCTCTGGGAAACAAATCAAGAAAGGGTTTGAAAAAGGCAAGATCACAATGAGTTAAAAGATGAGGGGTCCCAGCAAAGCAGGAGCCATGGCATCCACTTAGCCCAGGAAGATCACTGTTCCTAGCTCTGCATTGTTTGTTGTCAGGGATTGGCATCTAATTCCTGAAGTCTCTGAACAACATCACGAACAATCCTGGACTGGTTGACATAAAAGCAACATTGACATAAAAACAGCATTCTTTGGACAAGGTTTTGAGTGTCCACATGTGTGAAGGAATGGAGGCTTTGCTTTGGGAGGTAAAGTGAGACATGCAGTTCAGAGTGAGAAGGAAAAACCAAGGGATCTTGGTGTATAGACATTGGGTATAGGTTTAAGTAGACAAAAGAACTGGGGGCAAGGGACAAAGGTATGAATAGTAAACAGTATCAATCACAGGTGTGACCTGGGTGGTCATTTTTTCAGGTTTTGTTTTGATGAGGTTCCAGAGTTGTTATCTGGAGGGTGTTCCATCCTTCAGGAAAAGTAATTCAAGTCTAGATCAAAAGTACTTGTTACTTAAGTCTAAAAGTAGAAAGACCTTTAAAAAGTAGAATATAGAGCAAGTAAAAGTCAGAAGGCTCCCAGTTCAATGGACGGCATAGGGGAAAATAATTCTGTGAACACGGACTACTAAAAGGATAAGTTTGGAGCCAGCAAGAATTAAATAGAAGGTCTTGGTCAAAAATATGAGTTTTCCTTGTCACAGGGGCCTGAAAGGGTTTAGATGTCTACTAGCAGCCACATCTCTTGGCTTTAGTAACTTTTATGAGCTCTGGCACAGGTGACTCCATCTGGATTGTGACAGTTTTCCCCTCTTGTCTCCAATTTGTCTGTCTCTGAAGGTTTTGTTAATTAACCATTTTGATTAATGAAAAGCCAACAAAAGCAAATATCCAGAAGCCTGAAAAGTAGTTTAGGAATTATCAGAACATTTAGTTATTTCCATTGCAGGTAGCATTTTAGGAAAATAATTGTGACTGACAACATTAGAGCACCAACACAAAGTATACCTTGTTATAATTAGGAATCCATAGATACAAGTGTGCAAAAATCTAGCATGGTTAACACTTTCAATTTGGGTAACATCTATATGGTAAGAGTTTCTTCCTAATTTTTCCTAAGTTTTGTATATTAGAAGGCTTATATATTTTGAGAATTTAAGTACATTTTAATATTTAAGGGAGGAAGCTACACAGATGTCATTTATACATGTCAATTGATGCCTTTTCTTGGAGTAAAATTTAGAATTTTTGGCTAGGTAAGATAATAGGTGTACAGCACTGACAAAAATCAAAACATTAAATATCTTACAAGTTAGGGGGTCAGTGCTATTGATTACAAATACCCTCATTTCTCAATGTACGAGTACATTTTTTATACATACCAAAACACTCATATTGGTAAGACACATATAAGCCAGGTTTTAAACAGCGGGGTTGTCCAAATGGCAGGGTTTTTCTGAATGTTACTGATTATAACAGTACAACTGCCAAAAGTTTCATTAACCATTTTATATGCCAAAGGTTTAGATGTAATACTTTTGGGTAAAAGAGAGCTTTTGCTAGTCATTTTACATTTATTAAACTGACACTCTTAACTCTGCAAATGTTTGTCCAATATTTAGTTAAGATCTAGTCACGTGAACTAGGCCTCCACACAGAAGGGGAAGATTGTGGCTGGGTCTGAGGAGGAGGAGGGTAGAGGGAATGGGATCGTGGGTGTGGAAGTGATGAAGAGAAAGGAGGTTTATTATGTGGTAAGGTGGCACCCCAAGGGAAGAGGCAAAATTAGCTCATTAGCCTGTCTTCTGCATACAGACATGAGTCCTAGGTTTAGGTAGAAAAATAACTTGGGTCGGGGTGAAAGGCTGCATAATGATTAAGCAGCTCTGGTCAGTGTGGCCTGTTTGAGTATTTCAGTCTTGGTTTTGGGAGGGTTTGCAGAGAAGCTGTTACTGATATCATCTCTCAAGGAGAGCAACCTGGTCAGGATGAACACAACTGACTTAATTTTTTTAAAACGACACTTAGAAAGCAGTGCTTTGTCTTTGAAGAATATTTTTATGGTTTCTTGATTTATAAGGAAAAAAAAGGTAATGTGAAATTAATGAAAAACCCAAACCTTAAATAAAATGTATTGACGTGTGTGTATGTGCTTCATTCCATAGAAGATTACCAAAGATTGTGCAAGTGACTGAGTCCTTGGTATCTCTCTTAAACAAATGAAGAAAATTGCATCAATAGGTAAGTGGTTGTCTTCATCATCTGTATGGATTTGCTCTTCACAATAACACATGAAGGAATGTCTTGTTGAAAGTATGGCTTTCAGCTCCCTAATTGTAGAACACAAACTTTTACAAAGAACACACTGAGGGGAAATTCTCTTGGGGCCTTCCATTCTTTCTGTCTTTCCACTCATTATGTTTGGTTCACTTCTGAATGTACAACTTCTAGTAGCATCAATCAAATAAAATTAAGAATTTGTTCATTTATTCAATATATTACATAAAATGTGAACTGTTTAATATCATTGTTGAAAAGACTCCAGATGACATAGTGGAACAAAGCTGTGGTAAATTTGTAAAGCTCTTTCCTTTTGAGATAGATAGTAATTAAATAGCAATGAGACTAAATATAAGACTCAATGATATAATGCAATGAAAAAATTGAGTTTAAATTTATTTAATGTCAAAGCTAAGTGCAAGCATTTTGGTTGATTATATAGTCAGTGTACTTTATCTTTTTTTCCTCCTGAATAAGGACAGTGCTGCAAAAATTAAGTAATCAAGTTTTTATCTTTGTTTAGAAAAAATGGCTAAGCTTATAATGTTTTCATATTTTTTCATTTAGCTACAATACAATTATTTACTTTTCTATGCAATGTAAAATCATAGCAATTTGATGAAATAATAGCCATCCTATATTTTATTGAAGAAAATCTCATTATTTGCAAAAGAAATTTGTTTGGTTTGTAACCAAGCCAAATTTATACCATAATTAAAATGTGATACTTAAATGTGGCACATAATTTCCATAATCCCATCCACACACTGAAGTGAATTAATCTATACATGGTACTTTACAAATATTTTAAAACTTAGTCACCATAAGAATATTTTAAAGCTTTATTCCAATATTAAAAATGAAAAACAGGAATTCAGAATATTTAAGTGATTTTCCCGACATTGTACACTTGTTGAATAGCAGAACTAGGATTCAAACATAAACATGCCACATTTTAAAGTCTTTACTCTTTCTTAAAATACTATACTGCCTTCCTCATAATGATTTATTTGTTTGTTCATAATTTCTTTATATATTTATGTATTTATTTATTTTGCAGTACTGGGGATTGAACTCACGGCCTCATACTTGTTAGGAAAATGCTTTATCACTTGAACAATGAGCCTAGGCCTTTCTACTGTTTTTAATTTGTTTATCTGACTGTGACTTCTACCTCTGCCTCCCAAGTAGTTGGAATTACAAGTGTGAACCACCACACTGGGCTAGTTTTGTGATAGGGTCTTGCTAAATTTTAGCTGGGATGGCCTCAAACTGTGATCCTCCTGTCTCTGTCTCCTTAGCAGCTGGGATTGCAGGAATTTACCTCCATGTCAGGCTCTCATCTTGCTTCTGTTGACTCCATTTGATTACACTGTCACTTATTGAGCTTCTAGTTTGTACAAACTTGATTACTTTGGCATTGAATTTTGCTTACGGGCTTCAAGTATCCCAAATTATCTTATTAACCCAAATCTTTTGATCTTCTCATAAAGACTTTCTGTTATTATTCATTTCATTTGAATTCAAGTGAAATTCATGTCAAAGTTTCTTTTCTTTCATGTATTTCTAAGTTTTTTATAAAAGCTTTACCTATACTGAGACCAATATTGCATTCTAGTTGTTATTCTGAAAGTTCTCTTTATTAATCATACTCATTTGTCTATTTTCTTTGCTTGGGCACTGATCAGGAGGAAAACTGGAAAACATTGGGTGGTCTTCTTAAAAGCAGTGAATGTGGACACCACACAAAGCCTGTGAAACTAGACTTCCTGAGTCCCTATCTGTGAAACACTGTATAGGGTGATAGTCCAAAAAGTTAAATGAATTCCTCAGGATCAGACACCCAATTAAGGAGCCCAGGGGTTGGGTCCTTCAAGTTAAGTCTGAGTTCATTCTTTTAGTCCTCATTCAGGCAGCACTGAAACATAAACACACTACATCTAAGTAGTATAAAAATTCTGTCTGTATCTTTTACATGATACTTTTACTTGTACAATTTTTTGTAACAAAAATGTACAAAAATTGTACAATTTTTACTTATATAAGGTCACTGATGTCAGGCATCAACTATCAAGAAGCTCTGGTTTATTTCTGAGTATTTCATAGTTAGTCAAGTTGTTGGATGATTTTGAAAAGTATTACAAATGGAAATGTTATGGAATGGATATTTAAGATTCCAGAAAAATACTAGTAAAATCAGCTCATGGAGTTTATGATGACATTACAAACTTTTTATCAAGTCTTCTTTCAGTTTATCAAACAATTGAATTTATGAAAAGAAACTGTTATGGAAAAAGAATATACAAATCAGCCAAAGAAAAATTAAAAATCACTTTCTTAGTTTATCTCTGAAATGCATGGCTCTTTTTCCATATTAATATCACCTCAATAACTACTTTATATCTCATGTCATTCTAAAAAAAAGGAAAATATGCTTTTTTTAATAACATGAAAGATATTTGATAATCTCAGACAACTTTTGCTAGAGAAATAAATTGAATGGTATAAATAAAGAAATCCAAAATGTTTATTATTACAGGTAATCTGAAGTTTTCATATTTTACATTTTAGGTAAAATAACATTTACCAAAGACAAATATATGGCATCTTTAAATACAGGTATTTACAGAGTGCGCAATGCATATTTAAGATTATAAATGTTTCTGTAAAATAGAGACATATGTATATTTATTAGCATAATCTTATTTGAATAATTATAAAAGGAATATAACTTATGGAGAACATGCTGTGTACATGAGCAAGCCTGGCAGATACCTGAGCCTGCAGGACCTTAGACTCCCTCACTTCTTTTTAACTTCCTGTCATTTCTAATTACTACCCCAAATCTTAAAAGCACAAACATGAGACATAATTACTTCTGGGGAGATCCTCAGCTTATCATTCAAACAACCATTTGCAACCAGGAGAAATACTCCATGTAACTGAACTGCAGCCAACAGGAATGAGCCCAAGTGATGTTCCCATTCTTCCCATTCTCACTGACCAGCCAGGCTATATTTAACCTAGAAAATTTGTAGAGACAAATGTGCTTTCACAAAACTTCCTGTTGCTAGCTTTAAACTAGAAGTGATATACTGCTATTACTGAGCCAGGATTAGTAACTCAAGAACAAGTGTTCATCCTCCCATTGTAAGAACTGGGTCACTTCTGAACTTTCTATTACTGAGAGAAACAGAATATTTATCATTTTAGAAAATGCTGTCTGCACATATGGACATCTAGGTATTATATCGTGTACATTAGAGAAAAATCCACACTAGATAGTTAAGTGTTTGGTGGACAGTTTTACAAAATATTAACCTTTACCTAACCTCAGAATCTTATAAAGCATTGACAATACTTCTTCACTGCCTCTTAATTAAAGAACATATTTTTATCCTGGATTTAATTAAATTATATGCAAAGTTTAAGAAAATATATAGGAAGCTACAGTGTGTATTTTTAGTATAAAAGCTTCAATTTACATTTTAAAAATACTTTCACATGGTATATTTTATTTCAAAAGATATAACCATTTCTTTACATAAATGGATTGTACCATTAACAAATGTACAGGTTTATCATCAAAATGAGCAAAATCACTTTTCCTTATAACCAAATGGCAACATCTGATTTTACATCTTGAAATTCATTGTAGGTAAATGAACGTGATCGTCTCCTAAGATTTCTTGGTCTCTGAGATCTTCCTTCTACCAAGTGTATATAGATGTCAGATTTCAGAAAGCGTGGATAACTGTCTTGTTCCATGAGCTGATACACTCTGCTTTGTGCAGCATCAAAAGTGTGGAGGGTGGGTTGAGTGATGCTCTTAGTGATGACTTCTTTGGTGTGAAAGTCAAGGTTAACCTGTAAAACCAGAAAAAAAAAAATGCAATGACAGTCAAACTACTTAAGCAAACATTTTTCATAAGCAGTTTAGGACTCACAGCATGCTGGGGTGGGTGTTGAGTGCTTGGATGCTCAGAGGTTTTTCCTCCTGGGATCTATGATCCAGCAATTTATTATGATTCACTATTTCACCTGACTTTTTCATCTCTATGCCCCTGGTCCTTCTAACTCTTAATTTAGAACAATGAAATACTGCAGTGTTAAGTGTAATGCATAGCAGTAGCTTAACTCAATTTTCAGAGTGGGAAACACCTAGAGGTTAAAGTACTTGAGTGATAGAAAATAGAGCTTAGGGAATTGGAGGGATTTCAGGATGAAATCTGTTACCCCAGTGCTCATTTGATTATGGTATGATGCTTTCCCACATCAAATCTGTGCTAGAGTAAAATGTCCCCTAAATATGTTAAGTCCTTTCATGCCTTTTATTATAGCACTCTTAACATATCTAGTTCTGATGGTGATAGGTTTTCTTTTCTCCTAGTGGGTAACATGGTACAACCATCTGTCTTTAAAAAGAAAATTTAACAATTTAATTAATTTAAATTAAAAATTAAAATTAATTTTAATTTTAATTTAACAAGTCCAATTTAACAGTGGTCTTGGAGAAGACAGAATAATACATTAAAACACAAAATAGATGGAAACACACTAAATTAACTTGAATAACCATCATTCCTTGTGGAGCAATATCCACATTGTCAATTGTATTTCATGAGTAGTGTTATGGTTTCGATCTTAAATATCTCTCAAGACCCATATGCTAAAGGATTGCTTGTCAACCAATGGTGCTATTTGGAGATGTTGGAAACTTTAGGAGGCTGAGCTTAGTGGAAGGTAGTTAAGTATGTTCTTCAATAGAACCAAAGGAACTCTGTTTAATGAGTATTTGGTGACAGTTAAATATTTGCTAGTTTTACAGCCATTTTGGCAGTTGTGTCAAAGGATTACCTTATATTTAGTTGCAGTCCCAAAGCACACATACCTTTTTCAGTTGAACCATTGCCAAATTAGGTTTACATGATCTATTGTGAAATTTTCTTTTAGCTTGTCTTACAGCAGAGAAATAACTGCTTGGGGCAAACAAAACTGTATAGATGGATGGTACATGTTAAAAACTTCTTGTTTTCTCTTACTTTCTCCACTTATAGACATCTTTACTTTCTATGAGAGTAAAGATATGTTAAGGTGATCAATATGGTTACATGAAAGAACCAAAGTGTCACAACTAATTATATTCACTCTTGGTCTGGATGAAAATAACTCTGAGAAATAACTTCCATGACAATAGCCTACAATATATTCTGCTTATATGCAGAAATCTATATAAATAACTGATTTTGCTTCAGCAAAATCTTGAACGCACTGATAGTTTGATGAAGGCAGATTCTCTCAAAACTTTTTTTAAGGAATTACAATTTTTTTTCAGTCATGGTTACTGTACCTCTTGTGGAGCATCATTCTGTATAAATTTCTCATAAATTGCTTTTGCTTTAAAGTTAATTTGTTGTGATTCCTTGCTTTTCTTGAAATCTTCACATGTTATCCAAAATTCTATGTTTTCCTCACTGAATTCAGTTTTAAGAAACCTGATAAAAGCATCCAGTCCATCTATCAAAAAATACAGTATAATTAAAAATATCAACACTGGGAAATGTAATAACAGATATTAAAGCATAATTATAAACAGAAAAGCAGCACACATTTTGAACACTATACATGAGGACCTGATATAAATTGACTCCAGTTTTCACAACCATGAGAAGTAAGTTTCATTCTTGCCTATATAAGGCTAGATAATAGTTATATCAGAATCCTTAGACTTTACTTAGACTTCCACTGTGAACCTTAGTTTGTGTCTCTTTTATCCATACTCCTCCCTGAGTGTTGGGGCAGATATTCCACAGACCCCCGAAGCCTTTTCACAGGGAATTCATCTTACACTTTTGGACCGTGCTTCCAATTCTGAAAATCCTAGAATTCCTTACAAGGCTCTGTGTTTCCAGGGTTTGCATATTCCTCTTCTCCCCAGTCCATCTGCCAAAACACCTTGACTTGTTAATATGCACACCCTTAGTCCTGAGTGAGGACAGGCATAAATTTATAGGTTGGAGTGTCTGTTCAAATATGCAAGGAGGCTTCTCACAGTGTGAAACTAAACCATGGATGGAAAGAAGGAGCAGATCATGCATAATCTTGTACAACTGTGAAGCAACCAGGATTTTCAACTCAGATGTAATCCCTCATGTCTAAGTGGTCTATAAAGTACATTTGTAAAAGAAAAGAAAAGAATACATATTTTACTTCTTAAGTGTTTAAGCATATACTATGAGGCTTTTTACTTTCTTTTGTCCTGAGCCCCACACATGTTAGGTGTAGGTTCCAAATCTTGTAGAAGACTACCTAGGTTCAAATTCACATTTATCTAATTCATATGTGGTCTCAGTGTATGACTTTGTATTTTTGCCACTCAGTTTCTCAATGTTTAAGACAATTGTCTCAACTACCTAATAGGGTTATTTGGATAACTTAAATGTGTACATATTTGAATATATAAGTATTGAGTATAGTGACTGGAACATTGTAACTACCTCATGAGGACTTTGTGGAGATGGTGGCGATGATGGTGGCTATGTTCCTACTGCTGATATCAGTGATGGTGGTTTCCTTTGTGACTATCAGGTATCTAAGCCTCAACCAAACAACTACATAGCTAGAGAAGTGGCATACTGTGGATTCAAACATAAGATAATCTGACTGCAAATTAAGATTCTTTCACATATTTTTGGCATTATTTTTATTGCCTCAGAGTTATTTTAAAAATTAAACTTCTTTATTTTAATAAAATGACATATCCACATGTACCTGTGAGAAACAAAAGAGATCACATGTAACCTTTACTCAGCTCCCGCCAATGTAACAGTTTCTAAAACTGTAGTAAAAGATTACAACTAGTAAAATGACATTGATCTATATAATGAAGCTACAGAAAATTATAAAGATACCTTGTATTGTCACTTTGTAGACATTCTCACATCTGTCCCACACACAACTCCTTCCCAATGCCAGGAAACCCATAATCTATCTTCTGTTGCCATAATTTTATCAATTCAAGAATGTTATATAAGTGAAATCATGCAATATATGTTGTTCAGAATGCCTGTTTCCTGCAGCATGATTCTAGAGAGAGTAATTCAGTTGCTGTACATATCCATAGTTTGTTTCTTTTCATGGGGCTAAGTTACATGCAGTCTAAAATAGTGAGACAATACTGTTTCTTTAACCTTTCACACATTGAAGGACATATGCATTATTTTTAGTTTGTGGTTTTTTTTCTGTTGTTATTATAAATAAAGCTGCTACAAACATTTGTGTATGTGTTCTGTTTGTAAGTTTTACTTGCTGTGGGAAAGATGCAAGAAGTGAAACTGCTTGCTGTGCAGTAGTGCCACTGTAGAATCATTGATAGAAGAGGAACATGTGTCTTCTGGACTTTCAGATCAGCTTTCTCATAGGAAATGACATTTGAGTTGAACTTCCTGATTCCTAGCACTCTTTCTTTAGGTTTTGCCTCACTCTGTATCATCACAGACAAGTTATAGAGGACACTCTTAGATGCTCCTCTATACTTCTCACTTGTAAGCATCTATAACACCAATCCCTCCTTTGTGAAATACTCTTTTTTTGTAGGATTCTAGGGCACCATCTTTCCAGATTCGTGCTGTCGGATCACTACTGTGTACAGTTGTCCTCACTGGTTTTACTCTCTCTGTTCCCTATTAAACCCAGTGCTTTGGAGGACTTAGTCCTTTGCATTTTGCTCTTCTACCCTCCTCTTCTATCTTCCCTCTCTCTTCCCCACCCTCCTATCTTCTTCTCTGCCAAAAGTTTTCTGACGTTCCTTTCCCTAACAGTACAATACTTTATATACATTGTTGGCACCTGCAGTCAAAATGAGCATTACAAACAACTATGAGAAACAAAGTAGCTCAGGTTTAATGTTGATATTATTAAAAGATTTAAAATCATCAGAAGAATAAAGAAAAGAAAAATCTTTTGACATTAAATATTGCTCCAGCTACTGAAATATCTTTTCTAATTAAATATAAAGTCTTTACGTTTTCTACACTTGGCCTCTTAATCTCTTCCTCATTTAATTCTCAACCTATGAAAACATGGTTTCTAATTAACACTTTACTTGAATTATTTTTGCCAAACCAACTTAAAATTATATTCAGTGAACATGTATTTTTAGTCCATATGTTACTTCTCTCTACAACAGCCATGATGGTAGAGATTAGTCCATAATTCTCTTGTATGGTACCTACCTTTCTGAGTTTCGCCTCACACCTCTGTTGTTTCTTTGTGTCCTTTTCAGATTTTCCTTGTCCTTCCATTAAATTCTTTCTTATGAAATTGCTTCAACACTCCTATATAATCAATATACTAAGAATACTCAGAATTTACTTCTGGTTTCTTTTGTGAGCTCTGAGTTTATGTGGAACAACACATTGTATCACCTCCACTGAATTTACCACTAAAATACTCATTTATTTTGAACTCATGGCTGGAATCACATGTTCTGCATGTTTTCCATTCAGTAACACCAATCATTCAGGGACTTAAACCAGAAAGAACCCTGACACTTCTCCTCAGGACTTCCTAATTTTCCTCTCATCTTATCATCTAATTTTGTCCAATGTATCTCTCAGTGTCTTACCTGTCTTTTTACTGTATTAGATATGCAGCTACTTTATTCAGACCATAATCATGTCTCACGTAGACTCTTCTGAGTACCTCCTTATCAGTAACTCTGACTCCAGATTTCTCTTGTCTCCTTCTATCCTCTCCCTTCAACATCCAGAGTCAGTAATGTCTTTCCATACTAATGTTTTCATGATTGTTCACACTAAAATGTTTCCAGTAGTCCTTCTGCTCCTCCACTTGTCATAATTGAAGCTCTAGCCAGTGAGAAAGCACATGGTTCCACACATGTACCAAACAATCTTGCACTTCCACCAATCTGATTTCTTCAATTAGTCTGTACTGTGTTTAAATTAGTGGTCATCTTGTTTGGCAAATCTTTACTAATCTTTCAAAAATAACTTAAGTGTCTAAGTATGGCTTCTTAGTATGGTGGACAGCATTGAAATATCACACTGAATGTGCATTTTATTTCTCTTGCCAAATTGCTAGATTCATGAGTTGAAAAACCCTGTCTGTTAGAAAGTGCCTTGGAAAACCTTGACAGTACCCTCTATCTTCATAAGAATTTTATATGTATTTATGAAAATGATTCTGTATTGTAGTAAATCTTTTTGTGCATGGAGTAATTTGTATCTCTTCATATTCATGCTGCACAATCTTTATATAGTACATCAAATTTGGAGGTGTGACCTTAAATTTAACTTTTTTTTCCAGCAAACAGGGAGGTCAATAAAATTTAAACTGTTTAATCAAAAAAAAAAAAAAAGAAAGAAAAACACTGTCTGATCTGCCACCAAATCTCTCCTTCCCCCAGCATGCATAAATCACTAGCAATTATTAACTAAAAGAATATAATTACTAAATAAATAACTGAATTGTTATTGCTAGTACATTTTAAAAATTTCAATAGAAAAACAAACCTAAATTTAATTTCAAGATTTAAAAGACATGAAACAATTATAGGAAATATTTTATATTTTCAATAAAACACCTGACTTATAATCTTTATGAAAGAAATGGACAATCTAAGCCAGTCAGCCTTAAAAAGTCAAAAATAAAAAAAACCCATTATACTATTGTAAGAATGGACCAATATATGTAATTAAAACTATACCAGTCCATTTAAGAAATTAACCCTTGTCCTAATCATTTGCCACAAAATATTTAATTAATGTTCTAATTTCATGCTTGGCAAGCAAAACTTCTTTGCAATTTTTCTTCTTCTTTGGTTATATGAAAAGACAGAGAAATGGCTACAGGTTCTGTTACTAGCCTTATGAGTTTTGCCAACATAAACTTTCTACCATACAACCATGAACTAAGAGTGTGTCTTTGTTGGCATGCTAACAAGATGGTGCTATCAGTTTTGAAAGCCTATCAGCTTTGATCTTGGGCTGGTATGATTTTAGGGAAACTGACACTGTCTAGCCACACTGTTCACTTGTGTGTTTCCCCCCCACAAACATATTCATAATTACACAGTGTTTCCCTAACTTTGATCAATCATCTTATTCATTCAGGTTGTATATATCCTGAGCTGCCCTGCGAACAACCCATTAATTGATTGAAACAATATTTATTGCACACTATGTTTGAGACCCTGGTCTAAGTACCAGAAATCTGTAGCTTAAAAAGGTAGACAAACTTCTTGATTTGTTGTTTACAAAATTTTACCTTTAATAGAAGGAAATATGACTATTAAAATGCACAGAAGAAGAGGATTATGACACATAATATTAAAAAGGTTTACTGCCCAAAATAAATAGCTTTAAAACTGGAAAAAATAAATTTTAAGATGTTAGATGCAATCAACATCCATTATATCCATGATGGGACTACATTTAAATGGATTAAACACATCAACGAAAAGTCAGAGATGATCCGACTGAACTACAAAGTGAAAC